ACTTTTTTTTTTTTTTAGTTTTCCCATAGTCCTAAATATTCTTTTCTTTTCAGTCTTTGTGCTCTTTGCTTTTCAGTTTTTGAGGATTCTATTGCATTATTTTCTACCTCAGAGATCCTTTATTCAGTTGTATCCAGTCTACTAGTGAGCTCATCAAAGCCATTCTTCATTTTGGTTGTAGTGTTTTATTTATTTATTTTTAAACTCTAGCATGCCTGTTTTGGTTCTGTCTTAGGATTTTCATCTCTTTGCTTACATTTACTATCTACTCTTACATGCAGTATACTTTATCACTAGAGCACTGAGCATATTTATCATTGTTGTTTTAAATTCCCAGACTAATTCCAACATTCCTGCTGTGACCTGTCCTGATGCTTTTGCGTGTGTGTTTGCGGGGGAGAGATGTTTGCCTTGGTACATCTTATAATTTTTTCCTTAATAGCCAGACTTGTTGTACTGGGTAAAAAGCACTGGGTAAAGTGTAAATAGGCCTTTAGTAAAGTGGTGTAAGGTGTGGGGGTAGGGAAAATATTCTGTAGTCCTAAAATTACATATTAGTTTTTTAGTGAGCCTATGCCTATGCTTTTAGACTGTTAAATTCACAAATGTTTCTCAGGTTTTTTACTTCCCCTTAGTTGAGTGAGATTGGCTTAGAATGGGCTGGAATTGGGTATTTTCCTTATTTCATGTGGAAAGCTAGATTCAGCTATAGTTGGGTATTTCCCTTCTCCCAGGTCAGTTAGGTTCTGATAATACCCCAGCAGGGTAGCTTCTCATTAACTAATTTGCTCTGGTGGCAGGCTTTTTTTTAGAAGAACAGATTGTTCTGGCATATTTCAAAATGATTCATTTTCCCTGTCCCCTACTATAAGCAAGATTATATTTTTCTCCAATATTTACTGTTACAACTTTGTTGAGTTCCTGGAGTTAAATCTCACAGTATTGTAAAGGACCCCGTCTGATTTTGTCCCAATTGAGTTTTCAATTTCAGAGTTGTCCACACTGAGCTTCCAGCGATTCATCAATTACAGTTCAGGTAATTGGTTCCCAAGTGGATTCTGCTCATGAGTCTCTGCTCAGGCAAATCATGACTCCCTGTATGTGCCTCCAGTCTTGGGTACAAGCAGTTTGCCCAGTGCTCTCCCATTCTAATAGATCCAAGAAGAGTTGTTGATTTTTCAGTCTGTTCAGCTTTTTACTTGTTGATAGGATAGAGTGGTGATCTCTAAGCTACTTATATGAGGAACTGGGACCAGAAGTTTGATATGTTGACTCCCTCCCAGCTTTTTTGATGTATTACAAATGAAATTTGTACAGATCAAGATGGTGACATAATTTCCCTCATGGGAAGACCAACTAGCAACTATCCATAGAAAAGGCACCAGAGTGAAAATCCTGGAACCCAGGGGTGAGGCTGAGGCAACCCCTGGACCACAGAGACTGAGAAGGACTGCTTTGGAAGGGTAAGAGGGGTGGCTACACTCTGACCACATCACCTCCCCCAAACCCCAGGCCAGCACAGAAACATACCAAGAGGGCCCTACTGAGCCTATGGTTTCTCCAGTGGGAAATAAAGAGCCCAAAGTGGACATAGAGCTTTCCCAGCATTGTGGGTCACTTCCTAGGAGGCCCATTCATGTCTAACCTCATGGGGTGGCAGTAAAATTTTCAGGGCTTGACCACTGTAGATAAGATTGTGACAGAGAAGTGAGTGGAGCTTACAGCAACCACCCTTCACATGTTGGCAGCTATGTCCCATGGATGCTGCTGGTTCCACAGTCAGGTCTGCATTTGGTAGGTCTGTTACCAAGGGTGTTTAAGGGTTTGGCTTCCACTGGGTCCTTTATTGTGCTCCTGGTGGGTCTCTAGGTGGGCAGGCCTTCCTTAGGACTACAGTAGAGCATGGCTAGAGGTGGGTCACAGGACTACTTCACGAATGACAGTCAGTCCAAGGTCAGAGGCATGTGTTACCAGGGGCACAGAAGAACATCTATTCTCATGGGTCCCTTGGAAGAAGGGGCTGATGGCAGGCTCATGGAAAAGCAGACTGGAGCCAAGTCTACAGGAGGACAGAGAATTTCACATTTGTAATGACCCATTGTTTTTCCACCTCTGCACTTGTTGAGGGGGCCAAAAGTCACCCAGAGCAGTGCTCAACTTTAACATTCACATGAATCTCCTGAGTGACTTGTTAATATTCAGGCTCTGATTCAGTAGGTCTTGAGATGATCCTTGAGATTCTGAATTTCTAACAATCTTCCAGATGATATTGTTGCTGCTGGTCCACAGATCACCCTTTTATTAACAAGATTATAGGACAATGGCCTTGGACCCTGACCCTGACATTTAGAGGCTTCTCTATTAAATGCCCCAAAGAGGTCCTCAGTAGCTACAACGTGGAGGTGACTGCAGCAACCACTCATTATTCACCCAATGGGGCATTAGCACACCAACAGCCTTATAGCCCGTTATTGTGCCTAGATCCTGTTGGAATTTGAGAGAAAGGTGAGCTCTGTAGGGCAGATCAGTCTAACCATTTTCCAGGAAGGTCTCACTTCACCCACATTGGTTTCCCCATATCTCAGCTTTGTATGTTTTGTCCATCAATCCAATCCCATATGCCTACTGTCTTCCAAAAAATCCTCAAACTTCCTGGTTTGTTCTTTGTACCCTTCCTGGTTGTCCAGCACTGCTATAGACTATTTTAAATTTTACACTGTTTTTGTCATTTCAGTGAGGTCTGTGAAGGGTAGGAGAGAAGAATGTATGGGCTCAGTTTGTCATCTCAGAGCAGAAGTCCTACTTTTGATTTCATAGTAATTGAAGTCTCTTCTCCCACCTACTATTTGAGGCCTGATTTGTTCCAATAGAAAAAAAAAATGTGGCTAGTTCCCGTTCTGAGCCATTTTCAGGAAAAAAAAAAAAACAACAAAAAAACAAAAACAAAAAAACCTGAGAGCAGATACAAATGGAGAAGGTTATAGGAGAAAGCCACTTCCCTTCATAAAAATCAACTCAGAATCTTTAATTGCAGACCTTGGCAGGGAAATGGCTGCCTATGAAGTGGCCCTAATCTACCCACCCCGTTTTACTTTACTTCCAGGGCATGTTTATTTCAATTTCCATTGTCATCACCATACCTGACCCCAGGGTGACATTGATTCTCCTTCGACACTCTGATCCAAGCGTAGACAAATTCCTATGCCTTGGTTTCCTCAGTAAGTAGTAGTATCAATAGCAATAACAGTAATTATAACAACAGTTTCTCTTCTTTACCCTTCTTATATGCCAGGTACTGTGCTAGGAACTTGGGATGAATTTTCTAATTACTTCCTCTTAGTTATCCTGGAAGGTGGCTAAGATTATTATCTCCAATTTGATGAAACTAAGGTACCATGAGGTTAAGTAGCCTACTCAGGTAGCAACTCGCAGCCAGAGTTAGAACCCAGGTCTCTGTGAGCCCAGAGTCACAAACTTAAACATTTTGCTAAACTGAATATTAAAATATCCCAGCTCACCTATATGTAGATATATTACCATTAGCTCCTGAATTCCCACTTGACAGGCTGACATCCTCCCCAGTGACTGAGGCCAGCCAAAGCCTCTACCTGCAGGAATAGAGGATCTGTGACTCTAAGAGAAATAGTGGAAAGACCCCATTTGCCAAATGGATTCAACTCAAATACTAGACATACCTGATAAAAATGTATCAGCCTAAAACATATAGACATGATGTGGGACTTTGTGGATGACAATCCTCTATTTTACATTCAATCAGCAGATTTATATTCTTCGTTATTCTTAAAAGTCCATCTTTTGCTTCCAAACAAGTAAAAAGCATATTAAAGAAACCCAAAGTTCACAGGTTACTAACTCAGCACTCAATCTGTTGTGTTCACTGTTTTGTAAATTAACCATGACACTAAAATCTCTCTATGCACTGGTTGAATCACTTTTAATTAATATGAGAGCAGTAGGTTCTTCAGAAAAACAATACCTCCACTTATCAAAATGTGGTATTCTTCCAAAGGAAGTGAATATCATGTTCAAGGCATCTGTTTTCTTCACAAAACAAAACATTTTGAGGGAGCTGTTTTTCCCATAGTGACAACATGAAGATTTGAATAACTTCATCAGAGCAGGACTTCTCCTGATCAGCTAACCTAAAACCACTCAGAGAAGGCCGTGATGAGTTTTCACAATGGATCCACTTTTCCAGATATTTGAGTTTGCTTTGTGTGAACAATCAGAGCCTCTGAGGTGAATGCATAGATCACATGAACCAGTAAACGGACTTTGCAACATGAATGCTATTCCCACACTGAAAAACTTAGCAATTTTTGTTTTTGTTTTTTTCTTGTGGAGTTTTGGTAGGAAATGAGATGAAGTAACTATAATAGGAAAAAATTCATGATATATAACTGTCATATTTTTTGACAGAAATCTGCCAAATATTCTTTACCTTAAAAGGACACTATAAAATGCCATAATCATTTTTTAAATTGACTTAATTAGAAAAGACCAAATGTATATATAAAGGATAATGCATGGACCCATCAATTTGTTTTCTGACGCCTGCTGGCAGGGAAGACAACAGAGGGTTGATGGAGAGAAGGCTGGAAGCCAGGCAGAGGAAAGAGGAAGGTCACTGTCATTTATTTGAGAAAATTCTTTCATATAGGCATGGGGTTGGGGGCAGTGGAACAAGGGTTTCTCCTTGAGGCAGATTTGGAGAGCTGTGTTGTGGAATTCTTCAATAGCATAGGAGCAGGAAAGTGTTGCATTAAGGCCACCTTCTTTTTATCTGTAACAGCTTTATTGTGATATAATTCACATAACATAAATTTCAAACTTTAAAAAGTATACAATTCAGTGCTTTTAGTATATTCACAGAATTATGTAATCACTAACACAATCAATTTTAGATAATTTTTATTACCGCAAAGGAAATCCATTAGCAGTCACTCCCGTCTACTTCCCAGCCCTTGGCAACCAGTAATTCACTTTCTGTCTCTATGGATTTGCTTATTTTTGATATTTCATATAAATGGAACCATAAAAAAGCCTTTTGAGTTTGGCTTCTTTCACATAGCATAATGTTTCATCCATTGTAGTATCAGTATCATATCAGTATTTCATTTCTTTTATGGTTGAATAATATTCTGTTATAGAGATATAACACATTTTATCTATCCATCACTTGATGGACATTTGGTTATTTCCACCTTTGGCAATTATGAATAAAGCTTCTATGAACATTTATGTACAAGGTTTTGTGTAGACATGTTTTCATTTCTTTTGGGTATATCGTTAGGAATGGAATTGATGTTGATATGGTAACTGCATGTCAAACTTTTTGAGAAACTGTAAGGCCCCACTTTTAACAATTTGAGTGTTTACTATGTCTTAGGCATTGTGGTATTTTCCATGTTAGCTGTAAACTGATTTACTCCTTATAACAATTGTGCAAAGTAATTACTAACTACTTTTATTCCCATATGACAGGTGAGGAAAATGAGGCTCAGAGAGGGGATGCCATCTGTTTATGGTCCCACAGCTAGGAAGTGGATGATGGAGCTGGGATTCGAACTCAGGCAGTTTGGCTCCAGAGTTTTTGGAGGAGGAGATGGCCAGACAGAAATAAAAATTCTTGCTCTGAAAAAAAATGATGATTTCAGATTAGCATATTTGTTTTATAGCAGAGGTTTGGAATTTGGCTTTCACTGACTAATCTTTTTATTTTAACCAAGTGGTTAAAAGTGCAAACCCTACAGCCAGATGGCTTGGGCTTGAGTCCAAACTCTGTCACTCACTACTTGTATGACTTTGGACAATTTACTTAACCAATATGTGCCTCAGTTACCTCATATGCAAAATAGTTAAATAATGGTATTTTTCTTATAGGGCTACTGTGAGGATTAAATTGATTTAATACATGTAATGCACTTAGAATAGGGCTTGTGTATATGGTAAGTGCTCAGTAAATATTAATGAAATATGGACAAGCATTTCCAAACTTTTTTGATCCTGTACCCCATCAGTAAAGCATTTCTGAGCACAACTTCCCAATATAGGTGTATTTATTATAAGCATGTGCTACTGAAAATCCATTTTAATTATTGGGACAGATTAAGTTCCTTCTTATTTTTTAAGTAATAGAGAAGTTTTAATATTTTCTTCTGTATTCCTCATGGATGATCTTGTGTCCTTTACTCTGACCATGTACCCTGTCCCAGATGGAGTACCCAGGTCTGGAGTGAGAGAAGAACTGACTTATCCCAGGTTTTTTAATATTGCTATGATACAGGGTTTCTGGACCTGTGTCTCTACGTATGTGGGTAGGAGAAGGGATAGGAGCAAGCAAGATGAAGAAGGAGCTTCTAAGGGTTACAAGAATGAGCTCTTTCTATTAGGGGTTTCCTCTGGGGAAAGGGGAGTGTCTGGTTACCTATAAAACAATGAGAGGTTTCCATTTTATAGACAAGTACACCCTACCAGGTAAACGGAATGACCTCAATCTCTCTCTGGGCAGGTATAAAATTCAGGTGAGTACTTGCTGTGTTGGGCTTCTTTTAGTCCTCAGAACTGAGGACAGCAGAAGAGGCCAGTAAAGACTCCCTGTCTCAGCTATGTTGGGCTTCTGGTCTCAGTGAGCACAGAGGACATGCTGAACCCAAAAAGAACAGAGTGAAACTTTCAAGATTCCTCTGGACCATTCTGCCTCTCCTTTCAGGGAAAAGGGAGCTGGACAGGGATTTAGCAGAATTTGAGTCACCCCCCTCCTTCAGTTTAGAGAAGAGGAAAGTATGATCCTGGAAAACCTCCTTCACTCTTTCCCTTCTCTGAACCTCACAGTGATTTAGTGTAATAATAATAATAATAATAATAACAGCCTTCATTTTACTGAGCTACTACTGTTGTAGTTGCTTTACACGTATTAACTTATTTTATCATCGTAACAAATTCCTATGAGCAACAGACATGCTTTTGGCCTCAAGTGAAATCAAACTTATCTAACTGTAATCTAATTCAATTGGCGTTTCTTTTCTTCACATAATAATCCAGAGGTAGGTGGTTGCTGAATATTTCTGTAATTTGCTAACGTCATCAGAGACCCAGTCTCTTATCTTTTTTTGCTACCATCCTTAGTATGTATAGATCTTTAGCCTCATGCTTGTTACTTCATGGTCACAGATGGCCACCCTATCTCAAGGTATCACATCTGCATTCAAAATAGGGAAAAGAAAAGAGGTGTTGGTGCCAGCTGTATTTCATCCCTTTATCAGGAGACAAAAGATTTATCAGAAACCAGCCCCCTATCAGCAGACTTTCTCTAGCATTTCCTTAGTTAGGTGTTGGTCACAAGGTTACCTTTTGCTGCAGGAGAAGCTGGAAAAATAAATATTTAACTGAGCACATTGTTGCCTCAAAATTGGGGTTTGAGTTGCAAATAAGAAAGGATAAATGGATACTAGAAAGGCAATCAACAATTTTCAGTAATATATAAGTACTATTAGAATCCTTATTTTACAGATAGGGAAACTAAGGCATGGAGTAGTTAAGTAACTACCCAAGGTCACACAGCCAATTAACAGTAGAGCTATGATTTGAACCTAGGCAGTCTGGCTCCATACCAGTGTTTCTGGAACATTCTTTGTGACAACCTACCTTTAATATTGACAAGCTACCTTTAATATTTAATACCTTTAATATTGCATCCCAGTATACATACCTTTCAAATTCAAAACACTACATACATTTTCTATCTACAATATTCTATTCTATTTTCTATTCTATTCTATTCCATGCTATTATTTCATTTTTTAAAATGCTGGTCATGTTCAACTAAACTGATTTCTTGACCTGCAACTTGAAAATAATTTTACTGCATTGCTCTTCCAAAACCACCATTTCCCTAATGGGATTTCTGGGGTACCAAGAAAAACTTCCTGGTGTTATGTCACTCTCTAAAGTCCTGCCTGAAATGCCACCATTTCTTTTTTCCCCTAGATATTTGCCTCTTATTGAGTCTGATCCAAGAAGGGGATGTTTTGAGGGTTCCTGTTTTATACAGCCAGACACAATTCCTAACTCATAAAATCACCAATGGTTCAGTGAGAATGGTAGCACTTCACATGATACACAGTGAGCACTAATTCATGTGTATTAGCTGAATCTCCCCAAGAAGCATATCCCCTGATACGAGGGGATTAGGGAAGTGATGCAGGGAGGTGAAAGCAGGAAATATGGGGTGTGTTATTAAACCAGCTGCTACAGTGGCCAACTGAAGCTTAATCCCTGGGGAAACTCTGGGGAAAAGTGTCAAATAAAATTTTCAATTATCATCCCTGAGGAGCAAGGGAACCAGGACATTTATAGCCTTCCCCCATCAGTCATTGGTTAAGGGCTATTCCCAGGGCAGGGGAGACAGTAATTCCCAGGTACTTCTGGCCTGCTATATTCTGGACAAAGTGGGTTCTATCAGCCTGAGGGACGCCTTCCAACAAAGACACAGGTTCTGGATATTGAAAGTTAGGTTGGTGTGTAAGGAAATGGTAAGGGAGATAGATGGAACAGCAACAGCATCTGCTACAACATGTTAGCTTGCATCCTTATCAATATTATCCTCAGTTCACATATATATTCAACAGTTCTTGAGTGTCTGGTCTATTGCCATGTTGCTGTGACCCTGATCAGTAAAATAGGGAAAATATTTATACCTACCCCTTAGGATTATGGTGAGAACCTATCACAAAGCTTAGCATATTAGCAAGTGCTCCATAAGTGCTAGCTAATATTTATTAATAATAAAAGGGATTTTCAGTTGATCATGTTGTTTAACCTATGAAATGGGGACAGTACATATACCTATAGGTATGGGGCTGGAAATAAATGTGGACTGCATTAGCTAAGGCTGAACAGGAGACAGAGGGTATGGAATCTGGTGACCAGGAAGCTGGACAGCTAGGAGGTGTCTCGTTGAAGCTATATTGTGGTTGGTTTGCTACCAGAGCTTGGAAGTTCCCATCTCTCTCCCCAGGAATACACACTTACAAAGGAATTTGTACTTGAGTATGATTTACCACTCCATAAGCACCATGCAGATAGGAATACTATCTAATTTGTTCACCTCTAGCATGCAAGTAAATATTTGCTGGATTAATAAACAAATGGGGCTTCCCTGGTGGCACAGTGGTTGAGAGTCCGCCTGCCGATGCAGGGGACATGGGTTCGTGCCCTGGTCCGGGAAGATCCCACATGCCGCAGAGCGGCTGGGCCCGTGAGCCATGGCGGCTGAGCCTGCTCGTCCGAAGCCTGTGCTCCGCAACGGGAGAGGCCACAACAGTGAGAGGCCCACGTACCGCAAAATAAATAAATAAATAAATAAATAAACGAATACAAAGTCATATACAGAGACTCTGACCTTATCTACCAGGATTTTAGTTGTGCTATTCCCTCCACTTTGGCATACCCTCTATTCCTCTTCCCAGTCCCTGCCCCGTGCCTTTTCCACATGTGTGTAGTAAAAACTTTATCCTAGCCCAAAGACAGGTCTGACCTTTGCCCTCAGCTTCTGGGAAGTAATCTCTTAGCCCTTGAAATGTCATGTCTGATAGGAGTATTTTTGTTTGCCTGGGGGCCTTGGGTCAACTGATAGTCTAACAATGTTATTTAGGATGGGGTTTTGGGCCACATCAACAATGTGATTTAGGGTGGGGGCTCTGAGTTACCTGGTATCAGCTCATCTTCTGAGAAGACTGGAGATGGGGATCAGCCAGAGGGGCAGTGATGGAGCCCCAACAAAATCTTTAGAAGCTTGGGTGTGCTTTCCTGGTTGGCAATACTCCATGAATATTGTCACATATTTATGCTGAAAAGTAACATTGTCCTGACTCCACAGGGATAGGAAAACTGAAGCTCCCTGTTTGGTACTTTCTTATACTCTGCTCTGTGAGCCTTTCTGGTGGATTATCGAAGCTAAGGGTGTTATTTGGGACTCCTGGACTTTCAGTTGGTGTCAGAAGGGAGGGTTGTCTTGTGTGAACTGTTTCCCTTAACTTCACAGTTGCTCAAATGTTAACATGGTAGAAATTTCCCTGTCTTCTGAGACTTAGTTCAAACATTTTCTTCTTTGGTAGAGATTTCTAATGTTCATCCATATCTAGTTCTCCTGCCCTTCTGAGTTCATAGGACTTTTAGTTTTCTGTTCCCTTGAAGTTGGATGAAGCCATGTGATCAGTTCTGGCTAGAGAATTTACCTGTAAGTGAGAAACAATCTAGGGCTCTCTTTCCAGCTGTGATGATTATGGAAATATGTCTTGAGATGGAGGTGTAGTAAGGCAGAAGCAGCCCAGATTGTGTACTGTCACATAGGTGATAGCTGCCCCAGAGAGTCACCTGGACTCACAGCAGAATTTGTATGAGCAAGAAATAAATTCTTGTATGTTAAAGCCATTAAGATTTGGGGAAAAATCTGTTACTACAGCACAACTAAACTTATCCTGATTGCAAAGATCTTCCTCAATCACAATTAACCACTCCATTTTTTGAGTGCTTCCAGGCCCACATCCATCCTTGTTATGGTCCATGCTTATGTGTTCTCACTAAATTCTGAGTGACTGTAGATATTTTATTTTAGTCATCTTGGTATTTCTTGTGTACCTGGCCCAGATTACATATTCAGGATATGCAAGTTGAATCTAATTCAGCTGGTTGGCAGCATGGCTGTTGTGGAGATGGACATAAACCTGCCTAAACAATCTGCCTTAAATGATGTACTGGTGAGCTAAACAGAAGTAATAGAGGCTTCTGAAGAACACAGGGACACTCTATGGCCATGTACCATTCCTTTCTTCCTCTTCCCCAACTATATGAGAAAACAGTGTCCATGTGACACTCATGGCCTACTGGAGAAGGAAGTCACAGTTCAAGAGAGAAATGGGAGAGATGGAATCAGAATAGAGTGCTTCCAGGGAACATGAATTTTACCTCCCAACACCCCCTCTAACTGTGTTGCAAACCCAGATGGTCTAATCTACCTATGGTCAGGCTGAACTGTTGCCCTGCAGGTGGTTGGACTTGGTGGAATGCTGAGGTCTCATTTTGTTATCTTGGGCCTGGTAGGTAAAGGCCCGGGCAAGCAAGATCTACCTCACCAGTCCCGTATCCTATTCAGGACAGAAGTCTCTGGGAGCCAGGGGTAAGAAGGTCATCATAAATAAGGAAATCCCATAGGGTCTAAAAGTGAAGTGGGTCAAGCAGCAGAGTGGTGGTCTCTGACTGAAACACTGAAGTAAGCCAAAGCCCACAGCAGAGACCTTAGGCCTCCTCCCCCTTGCTCTTGGTACTAGAGACAAAAGGACCTATGGCTGTAGTCACCTGTTGGAAGCCTAGGTTAGAAAACTTAAGATACAGGGCTCTCAAGGAGATTATAGAGTGTGACACATTCATGTGCTAGTATCAACCTATTCCATATTCTTGCTTCCAACCCCCCTCAACCCATGCTGCACCCAGGAACTCTCTGATAGTAGGCAACTCTGAGATCAATTTGAAGGGGGTTGGGAGATGGGTGAAGAATAAGTATTTTATTAAGGTCAGTGTTTATTTCTTCTGGAGAAAGGTAGGTTAAGTAGTATCAGAACATACAAACTATTGTGTCTCTAATGGGCAGCATAAGATACCACATGGGAGCCTTGTGGGCAGCAAGGAGCATGTATGTGCAGGAGACACCATGATGAAAGAAACAGTAAGGTCACTCCATCCACTTTGGGGGATGGATAAAGAATATGTCTACCTCTGAGGAGACAGGACTGGAAGCATTAGGAAAGAACTGGAGGTGGGGGATTCCTAAGTGATATGGATTCTGGTTAGGCCCCAAAAGCAGCTTTTAAGCTCATGTGAGAGTACACAGGGCAGGTACTGGACTTACAGCTGCAAGGAAAAGGAGCAAGGTCAGGAATGGGCCTTCAAGTCTTGTGAAAGAGCCAAGTGACATGAAGGACAGTCCCACCCATGAAGACATTTGAAGCACCCCTGGTTACAGGATCAAACTTGATTCTTGTGGCCCACTCTTCCAGAAAAGACATGGAAGGCCACAGACAGACCATGGAAAGCCTGGCAATAGAACAGCAGGACTGGCAGGCCAAGACTAGGCTGGTGTAAGCTGTCCCTGCCAGGCAAATTCCCTTTATTTCACAATTGGTAAAACACACACACAAACACACACACAAAATGGCATGAGAGCTATGCCTGGAGGTGTCTTTTTACTTCTTTTATTGAACTCCATAAATATTTTCATAAGGCTTTGTGTCATTACAACATCATATTTTTGTTAAACATTTTTTTTAAACACACAACTTTGACACTTGTTTGACAGGGTCAAACAGTCAGATAGAAGAAATGAAATAATAAACTGGCAAGTGCAGAGCAGCAGGGGTAATCAAAATCACTGTTGCCCATCCATCCACCCCAGCCCACCCCATCCCCAAAACACTAAAAATCACTATTTGGCTTCACACTAGAATTGTTAGAACTCTCTTGTTGCTGTCCTTATAAATCCTTTAGAGATATACACATAGAAGGGACAAGAGGGAGAGAGAGAAAGAGGAGGTGGATTTCTGGGTTAGGACCATCCCATAAAAGGGCCCATAGAATATATTAGCAAAGCCTTTTTGAGCAAATCCAGGCCTCATTGAGTTGAGGAAAGGGGATCTCTGGGCCATGCAGAAACAGAGATTTACAGGGTTCTTGTGGATAGCATCGCTGTGGGAACACAGAATAGGCTTGGATCCTGAGCCCAGGTAATGGGGTTCCCCTTGGGGCTGTTGGCCACCTGTCTGCTTTTCTGCCATAGACTGGGGGAATATTCCAAGCAATGGTGAACAGATTTCTTGTTGTTTTCATAAATTATTGGCATCTGATGAGGCCAGTGGGTTGGGTGGATGAGAGGTGGGTGGAAAGAGGTGATAATCCCTGATCCTGGAGCTCTGGGCACAGCCCCAGGGGAGCAGGAAGTGGGAGTGTGAGTGAGCTTGGCCAAGAGAAGTTGTAGGTCCAGGGACCTGTCCATGCATCCCCTCTTGGTGTGCCCCCAGGCCCTGGAGAAACAAGTCAAGGCCAAGCCTAGTGAGAAAGAATTGAAAGTAGGAAAATAATGTACACTCAAGGGAGGCCTACACAGCCAGACATTCTGTTTGCCAGGGAAGCCATTTTAGCTTAGGCACTGGGTACCAGGTTCCTTGTCAAGTGGGCTTAAGTAGCTGAGTCAGGTGCTGAGCAGTTGTGGCCAGTCCCGAGCCCTGGCCCTCTGCCCAGCTCACACTTATCCTTGGCTAACTCCTCAAGTCTCATTTGGGTGTGGTGGAATGGGAGCTTAAACAGCTTGTAATTTGATTCCCATAGAAGAAAAATTCCCAGGCTGGGCAGGGCCTGGTCTGGGTCAGGAGGCGTAAGAGCAGCAATCAAGCCAGCTATGCTGTGTCCCATGCAGCCATGAGTCCTTTCATGATTAAGTCTTCTCCCACAGGGTCCAGGATAGACTCAAAATCTCCAGATTCCTCACTAGAATGGCTCTCCATAGTAGGGCCCATCCTTACTCCTTTGTACTCCATTCTCCTTGCTGTTCAAGGTCTATCTATCTGAGGGGCTATGTGGAGAGGAGGAATAGGGAGTACTCATAGGGAGTCTGTCTCTTTGTGTGGAAAGTTAGTTTTTCCTAAGTGTAAAGCCTACCAAAAATGAGCCTGAGGGTAGCATCTCTGCCTCAGATCCTTTCTCCACAGGGAAAAGTCCCCTAGGGTCCTCGCTTGCTTACTTCAAATGTTGTGGGATGGGAGAATGTTGGAAACAGGGCAGTCTTTGAGTGCCAGAAGTGCTTTAACTATGCCCATACCAGCAACCCTCCTGTGCAGGGGAGAGCAGGAGAAAGAAGGAAGACAGGAAGGGGGGAAGGAAGGAGCCATGGAAGATTATCCATGCAATCGGCTAACAATGGGGGAAGTTTCACATAAGTTAGGAACTGTAAGTACATATCTTGGGCTGAGGTTGTCTCTTTCATGCCCATCTTTGTTCTTTCCTATAAGAGGTTACTATCAGCCTTTGATTCTGTCCAGGTCAATAATTTGAATACAGTTGATGATCTTGGTCAGGTGGGCTCTGTCTTGACCTCTCACAGATTCCAGCAATGCTGCCTAAACAATCTGCCAATGGGGAGCAGGTACAACCAGGTCCCTGATTGCAGTGGGGAGTCCTACTCTAAACCTGCTTGGTACTGGAGGCAGTTGAATCCCTCCTCCAGGAGGCAGAGTCTCAGCCTCTTTACTTCTAGTTCAGATTTTTTAGTTTAGGGGAGGGACAAGCCTAGAAGAAACACCATAACCAAAGTGGCATGAAGAAGAGAAAAACTGACCCAAAAACCCCAGATACAAAACTGGCATGACCCAGCAGTGCTGCAACATGGGAATCCCCAGTGCTAGCAGAAGAAATAGCCCAAATGCAGAATGCTCCCTGAACAGAAGTCCTCTCCAGCATCATTACTCTGACATTCCCTTGCTTCTGTTTAGTTTCGATCCCTCTACAACACCTAAAACACAGTGAAAGCAATAGAAATATTGAGCACTTATGTCACAGGGCACAACAGAGCATGTCCAGACTGGCATGACTGAGGACAGAAGATGCAGGGAAAAGGCTATTTGGGGCAACTGCAGGGCTGCAGAAATATTCGCAGATGATCAGTTGAGGGAGTGGAGGAAGGGGATCCTCCCTTTACCCAGTGAAAAGGAAAAGGAAAAAAAGAAATTCAAAACTCCCAAACTCCACCACATCAAATTAAATTCAAAAGTCATCAGCATCAGTATCATCAGGTAACTAAAAAACAATACACACATCTATGTTAATAATGACAAGTCAATGAATCACTCACAGGAGAGCAAAAAGATTATCTCAACAAGAAAAGGAACAAATAGAAATGTCATTTTCTGAAAGTAAAAGGGAGGGGGACAGGGTAAGAATGGAAAACATTTTAAGAAGGGATCATGTGTTTGGAATTCATTGGTACTTCTTCCTACCAACTACAGATTTTACTTCCCCAAAACAACAGAAAACATTTTTGGTCCTTCTGTGTGTGTGTGTGTGTGTGTGTATGTGTGTGTGTGTGTGTGTGTGTACACTCAAGGTCCTGTGTGCGTGTGTGTATGTGTATGCGTGTGTGTATGTGTGTGTGTGTGTGTATATATATATATATATATATATATATATATATATATATATAAATTTCAACAGTGCTTCTCCGAAAAAAGGTCCATCTATAAATATAATTTTATTTACTTTATTTTAAAATTATCTGCCTCCCTGTTGGTATTATTTTTTGAAGGGGGTTAACCTGCTGAAGTTTTGCCAGAATGGTGACTGGCTGCGCTTGGGTTCGGTGAACTCAAAGACCTGCGACTGAGCGATGCCATCAGGGACCAGGTACTGGCCCTGGTTTAACGGGTCCTGCGGTGGTGGGTAGGAAGGAGGAACTGAGCGAGCAGAGGTGACACCTAGAGTAGACGGGAGATCAAAGGGAAATGGTATAAATTAAGTAGTAAGGGGCTTCTCAAAGCACCTAGTGCCTACTTTTAATCCTTATCTCTATTCAGAACAGAATAGGCTGAGGAACACAGCATGTGATTCAGAATGCAAGGATGATCTCTCTGCTGCTCCCAAATACCTTTCTCATCTGCTGGTCAGTGTCTGAAATTTCAACATTATAGTTTCTCTGTTTGCCTTTGTTTGATGATTTGATCCCATTGCCCTGGAAGTAGTATCATATTAAGCCATCATATAACATATTAAGACATTCACACTTCAGTGGGAAGGAACCACTTCTTTTCTAAAAGCCAGTATTTTGTTGTTTTGTTTTTGTTCTTGTTATTGTTTTCCAGCTTTATTGAGATGTAACTGACATACAATGTTGTGTAAGTTTAAGGTATGCAATGTGATAATTCATTATACATATATATTGTGAAATAATTACCACAATAAGGTTAGTTAGCACATCCATCACCTCACACAATTACCTTAAGTATACAATAGCGTATTGTTAACTACATTAACCATACTGTATATTATATCTCCAAAACTATTTCATCATATAACTAGAAGTTTGTGCCCTTTGACCAACATCACCCCACTTTCCCCAACCCCAACCCCTGGCAACCTACTTTCTGTTTCTATAATTTTACCTTTTTCAGATTGCTTATATAAATGACATATTGTATTTGTATTTTTCTGTCTGACATTTCACACAGCATAACTCCCTAAAGACCATCCATATTTCCATAAATGGCAGGATTTCCTTCTTTTTATGGTTGAATAGCATTCCACAGTGTGTATGTGTGTGTGTGTGTGTGTGTGTGCGTGTGTGTGTGTCTTTTTTGGGTGTATGGTTTATAAAAAAGGTTCTCCCATTGCATAGGTAGCCTTTTCATTTTGTTGATTGTCTTTTGCTATGCAGAAGCTTTCTAGTTTGATGTAGTCCCACTTGCTCATTTTTGTTTCTCTGGCTTTGATTTAGGTGTCATATTCAAAACCTCATTGCCAAGATCAATGTTGAGGAGTACAGGGAAAACAGGGAATACCCTGTTTTCTTCTAGGAATTTTATAGATGTGGGTCTTACACTTAAGTCTTTAATCAGTTTTGAGTTAATTTTTGTGAGTGGTGTTATATAGGAGTCCAATACAGTCCTTTGCATGTAAACATTCAATTTTCCCAATACCATTAATAAAAGAGACTATATTTCCCCCACTAAATATTCTTGGCCTCCTGACAAATATTAGTTGACCATAAGTGTGGGTTTATAATTGGGCTCTTGATTCTGTTCCATTGATCTATATGCTGTTTTTTATGCTAGTACCATACTTCTTTGATTATTATAGCTTTGTAATATAGTTTGAAATTGGGATGCATGATTGCCCCAGCTTTGTTCTTCTTTAACAGAACTGCTTTGGTAAATTGGGGTCTTTTGTGGTTCCATATGAATTTTAGGAGTATTTTCTCTCCTTCTATGAAAAATGCCATGGAATTTGAGATAAGGATTACAGCAAGTATACAGATGGCTTTATATAGTAAGGACATTTTCACAATATTAATTCTTATCATCCATGAATATGGAATATCTTTCCATTTATTTGTGTCTTCTTCAATTTCTTTCATAAATGTCTAATAGATTTCAATGTGCAGATCTTTAACCTTCTTGGTTAAACCTATTCCTAAGTACTTTACTATTTTGTGCTATTGCAAAGGGGATCATGTCCTTAATTTCTCCTTTGGATGTTTGTTGTTAGTGAAACACAACTGATTTCTGTACACTGATTTTGTATCCTGAAACATTACTGAATTCCTTTATTATTCTGATATTATTATTTCTTGGGATAGTCTTTAGAGTTTTCTATGTATGAAATCATATCATCTGTAAACAGAGACAATTTGACTTCTCACTTTCTGACTTTAATTGCTTTTTATTGCCTGACTGCTCTGGCTAGGACTTCAAGAGCTATGCTGAATAGGAGTGGTGAGGTTTGGAATCCTTGTCTTATTCCTGAACTTAGAGGAAAAGCTTTCAAACTTTCACCTCTGAGTATTGTTATTAGTGGTGAGCTTGTCATAAAAGGCATTGATTATATTGAGATATGTTCTTTGTATACTCAATTGATTGAGAGTTTTTATCACGAAAGATGTTGAATTTTGTAAAATGCTTTTTCTGCATCTATTGAGGTGATCATGTGATTTTTATCTTTCATTCTATAAATGTGGTGTGTCACATTTATTGATTTGCATATGTAGACCATGCTTGCATCCTAGAGATGAATCCCACTTGATGATGATGCATGATCCTTTTATGTGCTGTTGAATTTGGTTTGCTAGTATTTTGTTGAGAATTTTTACATCTATATTCATCAAGGATATCTAGTAATATCTTTATCCAGCTTTGGTATTGGGGTAATGCTAGCTTCATAAAATGAGTTTGAGAGTGTTCCTTTTAGGTTTTTGACTAGTTTGAGAAGGACTGTTGTTAATTCTTTTTAAAATGTTTCATGGAATTCACCAGTGAAACCATCTATCTGTTCCTGGGCTTTTCTTTGTTGGGAGGTTTGATTACTGATTCAACCTTCTCACTTGTTATTTGTCTGCTCAGATTTTGTATTTTTCCCTAATTTGAGACAATAATAGACATATTACATTGTATAAGATTAAGGTGTACAACATAATGATTTGATATATGTATATACTGCGAAAAGATAAACACATTAAGGTCACTTAACATCCATCACTTCACATAGTTACACGTTTTTTCTTTTGATGAGAACTTTTACAATCTACTCTCTTAGCAACTTTCAAATATACAATACAGTTTTGCTAACTTTAGTCTTCATGCCGTATGTTACTTCCTCAACCTCATTTATTTTATAACTGAAACTCTACCTTTTGACCACATTCACCTATTTCCCCAACCCAACACCCCTTGCATGTGGCAAACATCAATCTCTTCTCTGTTTCTACAAATTCAGTTTTATTAGATTCCCCATATAAGTGATATCATACAGTATTTGTCTTTCTTTGTCTGAATTATTTCATTTAGCATAACACCTTCCAGGTTAGTCCACGATGTGGAAAAGACAAGATTTCCCTCTTTCTACAGATGAATAATATTCCATTGTGTGTGTTTGTATATATTTATTTTACCTATTTATCTGTCAAAGGACACTTAGGTTGTTTCTATATCTTGGCTATTATGAATAATGCAGTAACAAATATGGGGTACAGATATCTCTTCAAGATAGTTATTTCTTTTCTTTAGATATATACCCAGAACTGGAATTGAATTATATGGTAGCTCTATTTTTAATTTTTTTACGAGCCTCCATACTGTTTTCCATAGCAGCTGTACCAACTTACATTCCCACCAACAGTATAAAAGGGTCTCCTTTCTCTACATCCTTCCCAGCACTTGTCTTTTGATAACAGCCTTTCTGAAAGGTGTGAGGTAATATCTCATAGTGGTTTTGATTTGCATTTCCTGATGATGAATGATGCTGAGGTACTTTTCGTGTACCTGTTGGCTGTTGGAATATTTTCTTTGAAAAATGTCTACTTAGGTCTTTGGCTTATTTTTTTTTTTACATCTTTATTGGAGTATAATTGCTTTACAATGGTGTGTTAGTTTCTGCTTTAATAACAAAGTGAATCAGTTATACATATACATATGTTCCCATATCTCTTCCCTCTTGTGTCTCCCTCCCTCCTACCCTCCCTATCCCACCCCTCTAGGTGGTCACAAAGCACCAAGCTGATCTCCCTGTGCTATGCGGCTGCTTCCCACTAGCTATTTTACATTTGGTAGTGTATATATGTCCATGCCACTCTCTCACTTTGTCACAGCTTACCCTTCCCCCTCCCCATATCCTCAAGTCCATTCTCTAGTAGGTCTGTGTCTTTATTCCTGTCTTACCCCTAGGTTCTTCACGATATTTCTTTTTTCTTAAATTCCATATATATGTATTAGCATACGGTATTTGTCTTTCTCTTTCTGACTTACTTCACTTTTATTGGAATATAGTTGATTTACAATATTGTGTTAGTTTCTGTTGTATAGCAAAGTGAATCAGTTAAACATATACATATATCTGCTCTTTTTTAGATTCTTTTCCCATAAAGGTCATTACAGAGTATTGAGCAGAGTTCCCTGTACTATACAGTAGGTTCTTATTAGTTATTTATTTTATATATAGTAGTGTGTATATGTTAGTCCCAATCTCCCAATTTATCCCTCTCTCCCTTTCCACTTTGGTAACCATAAGTTTGTTTTCTATATCTGTGACTCTATTTTTGTTTTGTAAATAAGTTCATTTGTACCATTTTTTAGATTACACATATAATCAATACCATATGATATATGACTTACTCTGTCTGACTTACTTCACTCAGTATGACAATCACTAGGTCCATCCATGTAGCTGCAAATAGCATTATTTTGTTCTCTTTTATGGCTGAGTAATATCCCATTGTATATATGTACCACATCTTCTTTATCCATTCATCCATTGATGAACATTTAGGTTCCTTCCATGTCCTGGCTATTGTAAATAGCACTGCTATGAACATTGGGGTGAATGTTTCTTTTTTTTTTTAACATATTTATTGGAGTATAATTGCTTTACAATGGTGTGTTAATTTCAGCTTTATAACAAAGTGAATCAGCTATACGTAAACATATATCCCCATATCTCCTCCCTCTTGCATCTCCCCCCCACCTCTCTACTAACAAATGTAAAATAGATAGCTAGTGGGAAGCAGCCGAATAGAACAGGGAGATCAGCTCGGTGCTTCATGTATCTTTTTGATTTATGGTTTTCTCTGGATATATGCCTAGGAGAAGGATTGCTGGATCATATGGTAGCTCTATTTTTAGTTTTTTAAAGAACTTCCATACTGTTCTCCATAGTGGCTGTACCAATTTACATTCCCACCAACAGTGTGGGAGGGTTCCCTTTACTCCAC